AAAAGTCCATTTTTTCGCTAAAAAGTTCCTGTCAATCGGCTAAAGTGTCAAATGCCAATTCAATTGATGAGAGCAAGAACTGATTTGATATGTGCATCAGTTCATTAATTACAGTAAAACTTGTCTAAATCTGGACACAATTGGTCGGATTAGATAACATTCCGAATTAGACATTTCAACTGAATAAATGTACTGAAAGGGACTACAAGTTTATATGTAATAGGTAAGATTTCGAAATACACAACTTTGAGTTTATGTTAATTTGGAACTCCATATATAAAGCAGGATTCTTGTTTTTTGTAATTTTAATGTCTAGAATTTTCATTCAAACTAATACTTCCATGTATAGAATGGCATTTGTTCAAAAATTAGATTATTGACTGAAAAGAGCAATATATGATAAGTGTCTCAAATGGCCCCTTAAAATGAATATCTTAATTTTACTTTATATATGGTTTTACTTTGCACAGCTATACACCTGACCTTTATTTGTAATTTTCAATTTGATCAAAATGCCATTAGAAATATGACATCATGAAGTTCATCTTTTCCCGCAATTTTAAGATATTTGTATAAAACTACTTATTTTCAAGCAGTTTTTCTTCCAGAAAATGTTGAGCACAGGCTTGAACAAACTTTATATTTTTACCGAAGATGTATCTATCCAAGACTAATTACCGACAGAAAATTTTTGCTGTTTTACTGTTCCAAGCTGCGCTCTGTTTCCCATAAGAAAAACGGCAAGAAAGGCACATTTTTGTCTCATTTTGATTGGATTGCAAAAAATAGCATCATTTCTGACGTCATTTACAGCCGGTGAGTGCAACTAATGTTAGAAGTATATTGGAAATATCTCTAATATAATCTCTTCTACAAAATGAAAAACAATTGTATATATCTGAATCACATTCTAAAATGTTGATTTTTGGGGGCCAAATTTGACTCTTTTCATATATAGTCCTTTGCACATTAATTCATGGATTACAGAAATCCAACAGAAATCAATAACATGTCAAGACTGTAAGTCTTATTAGCTTTATTTTCACTTAAATACAACACCATGTTTGCAATTACGTATTGCACACAGCTGAATTATTCAAATTAAAAACAATGGAATTGAGCAGTTGCCTAACAATAAAAAAGTACAGTCACACTCTCTACTCTTATATTTACCAGTCTTGGCAAAAGATAAATTTAAAATTCATTACATTTTCTTACTCTCTCAGGAAAAAAAAACTAGCTAAATATACAAGCAGCTTTCAAGGCATCATAATCTATTTCATTAAATTACTTACACAGCATATTTCGTTACCAAACAGACTTTAAAAATCTGTATGTCTGCTTTAATGAGATGCTCCTAAAACAAATGACTTATGGACCTGATTCTTTGTGCTAATATAGTTTAACTTTCTGTGAAATACAAGTATCTCTGCCTCTCTTCTCCATTACCTATCAATTATAGAATTTTTTCTACATTTTATTTGATGTATTTACAAGTAATACTTTAAGTGAAAATATAAATTTTTGTTTGGGTTATTTCTTTTTTTTCATGGCATGAAGAGAGCTATAATAAAGTCATGTCTGTAATGAAGTCATGTCCTCCACATAATGTTAAAATTTCAAAAAATAGTATCAATTTTCTGTATGTAGGTGAAAAAAGTCGTTATCATTATTTTGAAAACTATTTATATTTAAATTTCCAAGTGTCAAGTTAAGTACACTGTGACTTTTTATTTTCAATTTGAAAAAAATATACACAAAAGAGCAAACAACACAGACTTACAATTACAGTCATGCCTCATTAAACTGGACATTCGTGTTCCCAAGCAAATAGTGTGGATTAATGAAGCATCCAGACAACTGAATCCTTGGTTTATCTATTAAAAATTGTTCTCCATAAATTTCAGCCGGAAGTTGAACGGTATGTAATATTGCTGTCCAGATTAATGAGGCCCTACTGTACATTGGACATTCTTCCATTACCACATAAAACAAAATCTTACTGCAATACAGAACATCATATTTTAAGTAATTCAGCTACCACTCCATAAGTAATGTACGATGGCCGATAGCGGCCGTCACTTTACACTAACGTAATGTGTGTAACACGTTCAACATTTTCACTGAAAACTCACTGACATGTTACACCTGAAAGTAAAAGTGTACAAAGTGTACAGTGTTGTTGCAAAATTCCATGTACACTCTACACCAACGTTCTGTGTGTAGAGTGTCAGGAAAAGTTTCATGTACACTCTACATCTAAAAGTGGTATCAAGTATCAAAACAGAACCAGCGTTTTTTTAGTGATGCTCCTGCAAGGTGCCTCTTGGAGTTCACGTAGACCTGGGAAATGCTGACAAATTTCATTGGTATTTAATTAATAAAAAAAGGACAAAATTAGTGTTTTATAAAAGGTAAAACATGGTGATCACTTACATTAAATATACTTAAGGAAATCTTGACAATTTTTGTATAATTACTATCGAAAATTTAGGACACAGCTTGAAAAACGAGTTAGTCTGCCGGTAGGAGAAATGCATCAGCATTCAAGTTTCCCAGTCAAGAAAAATGGAAAGTGATAATTATCACACATCAAAAACATTTCTTGTTTTCATTTCACATTGTATGTAAATGCCGGTAATTATTGCTACCAAGTTAAAAAAAGTTTCACTTTATAACTTTTTTTTTTATAACTTTTGAAATGCGTTATAAACTTTCATCCATATATACTAAAAACAAGATTTTTCACTTCCGGAACTGAAATTTATAATGCTTTATTAGCATTCATTGAATTACCAAAGAACCTTGTAAGCATCCCCCGGATCTATGTGAACTCCAAGAGGCACCTTGCAAGGGTAACACGAAGAAACTCTGGTTCTGTTTTGATACTTGATACCACTTTTAGATGTAGAGTGTACATGAAACTTTTCCTGACACTCTACACACAGAACGTTGGTGTAGAGTGTACACAGAATTTGGAACAACACTGTACACTTTGTACACTTTTACTTTCAGGTGTAACATGTCAGTGAGTTTTCAGTGAAAATGCTGTACATGTTACACACATAAGGTAAGTGTAAAGTGACGGCCGCTATCGGCCATCGTAGTAATGTGAATAACTTTTAACATATCACTCTAAAAATCTATGAACATGTATGAAATATGGTCCCACCATTTTGGTAAAATAAAGCAAACAATACAAAAATAACCCAACATTATGCAAGACTTATTGTTCTTCAATGTAAATGATAAAACAAAATGAGAACTTGTATTTCATACAAGTGTGTGAAAATGGCAAGCTTCACAAACAAAAAGCACTGTTGAAATGTCTGTTCATATGCAGAAAGTGATCATTTTCTAATGTGCACTCACATGTAATAAACATTACCCCCCCCCCCCCCCCCTTTAAAAATTACTTTGTTCACATAACCCATAGCACTGTTGTGTATTACTGTATTAAAAAAAAAAAAAAAAAAAAAAAAAAAAAAAAAAAAACAGGGATGTTGGTGAACAACACTCAATCACCAATGTACTTTATAATGCACGTTTCATCACCCAAGTATACACACACTCAACAAAAATCAAGACAAATACTTAATACATATTTGTAGACAAAAATAAAATATTTGTGTGGTTACTTTGGAAAAAGATACAAAATTAAATATACATTAGAAAAAAAAGTTACATAAATGAGTATTTTGCATTGCTAAGGCATACATATTAAGATACATATTCTATGATACTTTACATAAACATGTACAATCAAAATGTGTATGTTTTTCTGGTGTGAATGAAAGAATTGATAAGAATATTGCTTTTAATTAATAAACAAAAACTTGCATCAAGCAGTTGAGGGATTCATTCAATATTACTTAATTACTTGCAAAGACATTTGAAAACTTAAGTCATAAAATTTGTGCCCGAATTAAACTGAATCCAAATTGAATGAATGTTTGAACCCAAACAGACAAATAATTTACATTCATACATCATGAAAGGAAAAAAAAAAAAAAAAAAAAAACAAAGCAAAAATCCTCTGGTTAATGCTGCACAGTGTACAAACTAGTTGACTAGCTGTGTAAGTTATTGGTGGCAAAAATTTTAATACAAAAAATGGATTTCAAAAACACCTGCATTAATACATTTACTATGTTCTAACAAAGTATTACAAAATAGCTAGAGGCTCACATCACAAGCACAACTAAAAATCTTGTACATGTGTATGTGTTTTTATTTGTACATCTACACATTAATTCTATATCTAACTTTATTTTGTATCTTCATCACATTCATATGAATACACTCATTTTACCAAAAGAAACAAGGATGAACAAACTTAAATTTGTGGTCATTTTTGAGCTTATTCTAGTTTTTTTGTGGGATAATTCTTTTTGTAGTGAAAATAAAGATTTTTTTTTTTACTGGACCCCCCCCCCCCCAAGGAAAGTGGGGGGGGGGGGGGGGAGGGTCCCTGGTCCTTAGACTCAGTATGGAAACTCAATTTTTTTTTAATCCTCAATATTTCACCATTCCATGAGCAATTATCAGTATGCATATCTGAAATGAAATGTTGAACAGAACCACAAAAATTGGGAAATAAAATAATAGAAATAATATTTACAGGTATATATCTTTCAAAAGGCATAAATAAAACAGATGACTGTTGATTCCCTACACAGACAAGAATTTTATATATCAGCTTTTTCTGTGAAAGTGTATCAGAAGAGAATCATTCCTAGGTGTAATACATTCCTTTTTACTTTTAAATTAACATACTAAATTTTGAAAAGAGAAAATTTGAAATATTTTTTTTCTGTAAGAAACAGATTGGTGGTGTAAGTTAGATAAAGTACATATATACATGTACCTAGCACATGTATTAAGAAATCGACTTCAATACACACTTATCACACCTAGATTCAAAGCTTACACATTTTTCCAAGTATCACAGTTTATGTATTGGACAATTGCTTCTACACTAACTTTTCCATCGTTACCACTGATAACCATAGTTTCCCAAGTCCCCTAATCCTCCTTTGAGCTGATATCCCCATTGGTTATAAAAGAGTGCGTGCGACCCGGTGTTCCTTGATCCCTGATGAAGAATTCCTTCATCCTATCGTAGATCTCCGTCCGCACAGCTTTGGTGAATTTGGTGACTAAGCACAGTGTAGTCAGACCAGCAAAGACAATGTTACACAACATGATGATGTAAAAGTTCCCCAACCAATCCATGCTTCCAAAGTTACCAATCAAATCAAAATTGGTTAAACCTGAAAAACAATTTTAAAATCTTTTTTGTTCTATAACAATCAGATTTGTTTACATCTGATACAACAGTTGTGTAAAATTTAAGTACACACTGCATATCCATTTAAGTGGATTTTACACATTGAAGTTACTGATACTTTCTTCATAAAATCACAATGTTTTTAAAAAATGAAAATTAAGACTGCTGCAAATCTGACCTAGTGTCCTTGACATCACAGGTAGTGCAGAACTAAGGATGAGCAGAACGATGCAGTTTCCAATGACCTTGACCATCGGCGTGTCATGTGGAACTGGACGAAGATTTCGAAAAACTGGTAAACTGTACAAACCTAATACTGATGCTAACATAACATATCTAAATTGTGTTAAGGAATTGTCAATAAGCTATGAATAAAATGAGCCACGAATTTAAGAATATAGTTTTGCCCTCTTAAACTTTGTTTCAGTTTAATAACAGTGATGCACATTACCAAAGTTAAGTATCATATATAATGAATATAATGAAGGATACAAAATAAAAACTATTTCTAAAGCCGCTCCAAAAGACCCCAAAGCAGAAAGAGAAGCCATTCCTAGGACAGTTTCCTGAAAGAAAAAAACAAAATACATATGAATGTCATTAATGGTAATTCCACAAATCAAGGGCAATGTACAGTGCAGAGGCCCACAGGCCACAATGTTCACCTGAGTCACATTGGCCCTGCTGTTCTGCAAGTTTTTAAAAAAAAAATAATCTTTCTTTATTCCCTGACCCCTACATGCTTCAATATCAATTTGATTAAAACAGCCTTTTGTTCTGGATAAAAGATTTTTTTTTGAGGATTTTACTCCTCTATATACATGCATTATGTAAAATTTGATACTGAATGTTTGCCTCACCCTAACCCCATGATCCATTAGTTAATTGATAAAAAAAAATAAAACCTTGAATCCACATATTTTTGGAATATTTGTATATCAATATGATATAGTGTAACCCTGCTCCTCCTGAAAAGAATATTTAATTTCTTACATATTCACATGTACCCCTAATGTGACCCTACCCTACCTCAGGTACCATGATTTCAATAAATTTGAATCTGCACTACGGAGGATATTTGCATTTTTAATACTATGTATGACTAACCATGATCTAGTTGCAGAACTATAGCTCTCTGGTTGAGAAAATTCGAACAGACAAACCAAAGAGCCACATCCAAGCACTGTAAGAACATTTGATTCATGGTGCCGTGTTTTTATCACAAGCTTCAGGTATTATATCTTGTATTAGATGCGTTCCACTGCCAAAAAGCATGGTATCCATTAATTAACCATATATTTTACACCTAAACTTGTTACCTTATTTACTTTTCAATGGCTCCAAACAGCCCTATGTGCCAGGCCCAAAAAATTCACATTCTGACACCCGTGTTGAGGACATGCTAAAATACGCCAAGAATATTTAAATTCCTGTTTTATTTATCTTATTTCTATATCATTTCCTTTTATAAATGATACAGATGATACTTGATCCCCCAAATTTTTTAGTACTTAAGATTTTTAATGTGTACTAGTATTTTCTTCAACAGGTATATTTTAGCATAACCCCAACAGGGATGTCAGAAAGAGATTTTTTTTAAAATTGACATGGATTTGTAACTCTCTGGTTTGTCTGTCTGAATTTTTCTCAAGCCCTGCTGGTCTTATGAAGACGAATTTTTTTCAATATTTAATCCCATGTAAAACTTTGATCCCTTTTTGTGACCCCACCTTATCTCTGGTGGCCTTGATTTGAACAAAATTGAATCTCCACTACCTGAGAATGCTTACATAGTAATATCGCTAATATGGTCCTGTTGTTCTTGAGTAAAGATTTTTTTAACATTTTCTTTTCTATTTACTTTCATGCAAAGCTTTGATATCCTATTGTGGCCCAATCCTGTCCCAGGGTCAATAATTTGAACAATTTTGAATCTGCACTACTTGAAAATGCTTGCATATTATTACATGTATCACTAATCATGGTCCTGCTGTTCTTGAGAAGATTTTTAAAGTTCTTTCTTATTTATTCCCATGTAAAACTTGATCCCCTATTGTCACACCCTGTCCTAGACGGTCTTGATTTGAATAAACTGAATGTACATTATTCAGGAAGCTTTCACATAAGTGTCATCTTTCTGGCCCAGTGGTCTTTAGAAGGAGATATTTTAAGGCACCCACCCTATTTTTGCATTTTCTTGATCATTTTTCCCTTCCAAGAGGGTATGATCCTTTGTTTGAGCAACCTTAAATTCCCTTAATCCAAAGATGCTTTGTGCCAATTTTTCATGAAATTGGTGCAGTGCTTTTGGAGAAGTTGAAAATGTGAAAAGTTTATGATGACAACAACAATGACAGAAAACAGACAATGACTCTCCTTTGGCCCAGGTGAGCTAAAATGGAGGAATGAATTGTATGCATAAAATTCAATTCCACAATATCTGATTATACTAAGTATTTAGCACATTGACCTGGAAAGCAGATACTGCCTTTTTAAGGACCTTTCCATTTATGACTTCTTACCTTGGCTCCCACCGGTAAAGCTTTGATACCAACAAGTAACAAAAGAAAGTTATGAACCACCATCAACACACACAATACCTGAAAAACAACAAAACTCCACATCATATCAATCAAGTAATCAAAACTTATAAAACGAACAAATGCCTTGCTTAACATGTTTAAGATTAGGTTAATGTACTTACTGTCAAAGCCAACAAAAATAACATAACAAGGGGATAACACAAATTCCTCCAAAATATCGACGTCTTACTCCTCTTCTCTGAAAGAAAACGAGCGAGATCACCAGCTGTCAGTACATGTATTTCAAAAGATTTACTTTAAGATCTAGTATTATAAAAATATCTGAACCTGAAGATGTTATGAAAATATCTGAACCTGTATTTATTGTGATTGATTGTACTTCTAACACATTGGAATTAAGTTCCACAGAAAAGTGTTACACAGCTTCTGCATTAGTTTACCTAGTTCTTTCAATGTCTCTTGATTGTTCTCTAATTGTTCTATCAGTTCTTCTGTTGACAGATGTCCATTAGCCAGTCTATCAGGAACTGCTTTGTCTGTGAGTACAAAATTCATATCTGAACATCCTAATTCTTATGGCAGTGCACAAACATGTACTTCTGGTTCTGTTTTCATAAATTGTAAACCAAATTTTATTCGCATGCTAGAAATATCCGCAAGTTTTGCAACCTACTTTAACTCGCGAATATAAATCACTGCGAACCAATTATTTTGCTTTCTAATTGTAGAGAATGTTTCCTCAGTCACAAAAATTCGCAGATTGATTTCAACCTGATGATTCGCGAATAAAAGTTGAAGCAAATAATAGTTGGTTTACAGTTTCAGTAAAGCATGTACAGTACATGGATTGTGGCTATATCTGAATTTTTTTCTTCTGTATTAAGGTTGCACACTTAGAAAGAAAGCAACTCATTCCATTACAAGAAAACAAGTAAAACTGCATTTAGACACGAAAGAAATAAGATAACGAACAGTAATCAAGCTCAAAAGTCCATTGAAACAATATAAATTTGGAGCAAACATGGACCTCTAAAAACATCAGAGGTGGGATCAGGTGCCAAGGAGGAGTAAACATCCCGTCAACTGGTCACAACAACCGTGTGCTCCATGTCATGATCAGGCAAATGGAAAAATCTGTAGACAATTCAGTGTGAAAATAAAACTACATGAATCTTCAATTCCTTACATTTATTACTTTTGGTAAACATCAGTCTGCGTCTTAAATCAGTCTCTGTTAAACGGACCAGGACCAGCTCCTTCTCCACATCTTGAAAGAACTGTAATTCAGAACACAAACGGGTTACTATCAAACACAAATTTTATTTTTTCATTTCATTCCTGAATATTAAATTTCTTCACAACATAGTTTCAGTGACTTGCTTTACCTTTGGTTTGACAATGAGTTCCCCCATTACTGTAAACATTCTAGCAAATCCTACTGGGGCACACACTAAAAAAAAAGACAGTTACAGGAAACAGAACAGGGACATTGGAGGGGAAAGACTGTCAAGCAGTAAAGACTTAACATATGAAATCACAGTTATTAATGTTAACTAGTGTAACACTTACACAAAAGGATGACTCCTCCAAGGAAGGAGACACAGGAATACAGGTACGGAAGATAATACGACCAGATATCTGTAATAAAGGTAGATATCAATATGGGTTTATGTCAATCCTGTTCTAAAAGTAGTAAAAGTATGGAAGATAATACGACCAGAAACATTAACTGTAACAAAGGTAGTCAGGAAGATATCAATACAGTTATGGCCAATTTTCTCCTTAAAGTTTATTGAATAAAGATAAGGAAGGTAATATGATCAGATATATTAGTTTAACAAAGATAACTAAACACAGTTATATATGTAAGTTAATCATTGACTACTTATAAACACACCACATATGTAGACAATGAAAAAAATTATACTCTATGACATACATGTACATCAAGTTAGTGTTCAAAAGATGTGTCACCTGCTATGATAGAGAAACTGAACCCATTAAGGTTTTTTCTTTGTCTCATTGTAATAAATATTCCACTGTAAGTCATAATGACATGAAAAAGATAGCTTGTATCAAAGTGTGACTCCATTTCGATGGACAATTGACTTCCCAATCCATCATACAGGCCACACAAAATTAAGTGATAACCTACTGATACTTATGTAATCATTATAATCTTAGAGTAAATGCACAATTACCAAAGAGTGTTTCTTGACTGTGTTTGTTGCCATCAAATATTGCGGAGGCTACCCAGGCCAGCCCGATCACGAGGATGCTGACTAGTATCAGCAAAATAACGGCCTCGTACACACGCGACCAGATACCCTATCATCAGAAAAAAAAACAGTAAACACAAAAATTTAACATTTCACAAAAAAACGCTATCCAAAAAAAAAAAAAAAAAAAAAAAAAAAAAACAAAACAAAAAACCAAGCAATTTTTAAAATTTCATGTGTCTGAAACTATAGTTGTTAAAATCCTTATTTTCAATTTCTTCTATTACCTTTTTGACCCCTACAAATCCTTCAGACTCAGTGAAGAAGTAGGCAAATGGCATAAAAAAGAATAACGACAGATTGGAGATCAGAAATATGTTGTTCCAGAAACCTAAAATATATAATATACATAATATGTATCAAAGTTAAAACATACCATTACTGTCACTAGTGACATATAGCAGGAATTACACGATTTCAGCTGTTACGTTCAATACACATTTATGTTAAAACAGGACTTATTTTACATTTGCAGCATAGTATCAGTATGTTTTAATCTTTTATGACAATGTCTCAAACATCACATCTGTTTACCGATGATGAGAGAAGAGTTGAGCCATTGAACGTAGTAACTTTTGGGGTAGGATAGAAGAACTTCATTGGACACAATGGACACAGGGAGGAGGAGGATCGCCCCCACGGACACCGAGAGGGTGAATGTACACATCCATAGTCTGTTATAAAACAGGAATAAAAATTAGGTCAGAATAAAAAAATCACCGATTGTAGTCATATACTCTAAGAATCAGAGATACTTCTAAGTAAAGCTCTGAATAAGCATATATTACTTATTGACATTCGCAGTATTGATGTACAGTGTATATTCTTTTCATGCATTGATGACATAAAGACCAGGTGAGGTTTTCAACATCTGCTATTGTTTACTTCTAGAGTATTATTGATCCTTGCCAAATGAGCTTAAGAGAAGTAGACATGCAAATCTTTGTACATAAAACATTGTACAACTTTTAAAGATTTAAAACATCTTACGCAATTCTGTATACCACTGCATCCTCCTCACCTAAAAAGAAACATCATTATTAAGTTAATTAATTCATCATTGTATCCATATTTACAATATCTAATTAAAATTTAATGATCAATAAGTATCCAGATAATAATCTCATTAAATAGTTTCATGCTGGTAGAACGATAGAGCAAGTTGTCAGTGATGATCACATTTCCAGAATTCTTCTTGTGCTACCAATTTTAAAACTACAAATTTTAGTGATTAAAAACCAAATGTGAAGAAGATTTTGTCAGACCATCAGAAATTTAAAAGCAAGAAAGGGGAACTTGATCGCAGTGTGTTTTTAAAAAAATCCTGGAGAATTTTCTCAAATTTGTGAGAAATTCAAAGTGACAAAAAATAATCAGAAATCAAGAAAATGTGCAGAGATCTTAGCAATAATAAACAAAATTTTATAAATTAACCTACAAACTGTCTTACGACTTGTCTATGAGCAGTGCAATACAGACAAACATATACAGGAAGAATGTGTGATAACGTTTACCGTTTCCTGGATTTCTGACAAACTTCCTTCTATTGGTTGCTAAAGAAATGTTAGTATCCCATCAATATCAGTATTCATATTTTATCATTACATCATCTCTCCCTGTTAGGTTTGAGTCAATGCAAGGAATTGTAATATATTGTGTTCACCAAAATAATACTACATATATAAACTATCTGCTACATATAATTAACATTGTCAAAATGTTGGAGCTACGGTAAATTACATATTAATTATTGCCAGAACTGGTAGCACTCATCTTGGATGAACTACATACTGAAGAAAATGTGATTGCCCTTAATTAATGGGTAAACAGTTCGTGATGACTAAGATAATTAACACACCTGCAGACGAGATATCTTCTGAGTCCGCAGTTTTGAAATGCCTCACTGTCACATAGGAACTCACGTATAGGAAAATAAACAACAGCAGGCAAATCTGAAAAATTATTAAAAAGTTCATTATCACAACACTACTATACTGATTTTAAAAACTCCTGAAATTACAGGTAATAATCAATAATAGTTGAACATCTTTACCTTTATTATATATATGTAATATACTGTCATATTTGTATTTGCAGTAGTAGAATTGATGTTAATTATTAAAGTTATTAAAGTTGCATAGTCCCCACACTGGGGGGGGGGGAGGCTTCAAGAAATAGGTTGTCTGCTGAGCCAGGGCCAGTAAACCAACTTGCTTTAACGTATACAAATTGATTCACTAAACCAGCAATTACTGTTTTAGCAGTAAATCTTCACCACTCAAAAACACTGAAACAAAGTACATGTACATGTATTTGTCCAGCAATGCTACATTTTGATGGCCCAACTGATCAATGAAATTTATAAACCATTCCTTACTCTGCTAAGATCTACTCCAACCTGAACACTGATGCCAATGTCAGAAGTATATGACTAGCTCATCACTCCCCTTTTCCTAATCTATGCATAAATACCACTCTCACTTTTTTAATTAAAATTAATTCTGATATGCCTTATCGTTACCAAATTAAAGTATATGTTGCATTATTTTTAAACAATTATAATTTCATGGCTGTGAAATCAAATCTCATAGTCAAAAAGAAAACAAATATTAAATCCCCTTTCCTCCTTCAAAATCAGAATCACTTAAGATGTGACATCAACTGAACATAATTATGAAAAGCTATAGGGAAAATCCAGGTTACCTTTCTTCATTTGATAAAAAATGCTACTCAGTGTATGTAGTGAAATGATTCACAGGTGAAATTCCACTTTATCCTACAGGACAGGTATTTTCATTCATGAACATTTATTTAACTTATCTCTGTAACTAAAACTTAAATGTGTCACATGGTTTGATATGTGCTATCTAATGTAGGCCAAAAACCAAAATGAGCACTTGACCAAATTATTTGCATCTGTCAAACTGCATGTCAAACAAATTACACACTGGGTTCGACCTCTTGTAAACACTGTCAACATGTTATTGTCTAAGTACACTGACCTTTTCCACTTCAATCAAGACAGTTATTCATGCTAGGGAAAGTTTAAAGTACAAGAAAGTGTATAAGACGGGTTCCACAGGTCTAAAACAAGCATCTTAAGCTGTTTTACCAACAACATCATAACTGAGTTTTAAAAATCACATCCCAGACTAAAAAAAATACAGACAGATAGAACAAAAATAGATCAAATATTTCAATAAAATTTTTAATTTCCTTGAATTCAACTATCTATTCAACATTTAAATGGTTATTATTATACCTATGTAAATTTATTTTAAACATAAAAATGAAGTTTTCTTTACTTACTTGGACATATATCTAGTCTTACTTTTTCTCACAGACATTTAAACTAAAAAAAAAAAAAACTGATACTTTTAAATGTATGACCTTCTTTAGGTCTTCTTTGCTACTAAACTTACAAGTTACAAGATACCAAGCAACTGTACAATCACAAACCAAAGGCCAAAATACTACATGTAGGATAAAATGTTTACAAACCATTTTTGACAAGGCTACTTTTAACACATTTAAAACACATTTTACTGTCAGTTCCCAGGATACAGCCTCAATAATCAGACCTAAATTCATAGCCTAGTGCACCATATTAAATTAAATATATGACCTATGCTACATAATGATGCAGGATCACTATGTAATGGTATTAACATTCAATGGACATTCTGGAAGACCAGTTATTGTTACAAGAAACCAATATTTAGAACAGACATCCTGTCACCTAGAACCTCAATTTTCACCTAAAATCTACAAAATTTAATATTCCTACAATGACAGTAAAACAAATTATACGAAAAGACAACAGAAGACCAATTATAATCTAAATCCATTATTCCATCAGCCTAGGAATATGGTCTTCAAGATGGCAAAGTACACAACAAACTCCGGAAAGTGCTAGACAAACAATTCAATCGTTTGAAGAGGTATACATACTGCTTCGGACTGGGAAAGGCAGAGTAAAAGAAAGATAGAAGGCAAAAACAAAAATATTTCTTTATGATGAAGAGAACACAAATATTATAAAATGTAACATACTGGGTATCGAGGGATAGATTTACAGCTACTCTAATATTTTGATGTTAATAATGTAATTATGATGTTTGTTTTTTTTTTAGATATGGTAATGCATGAACTTAATGTTACATCTTAACCATAGTAAGATGCAATCATGTAAGTGCGTTACATCTTTTATTTATCATGTAACTGCATTACATCTTATTTATCATGTATTGATGTAACTGCATTACAATTTATCAAATCATAATTCAAATTGGGGATAACTTTGAGCATGTGATAGAACAATCTTCTATCATAAATGTCTGTAAGTTAATTAAGAAAGCAGACAATTGAGAAATCAGGACAACATTAGTTTGAGATTTTATGTATTATAATGTCCAGGGAATATAGCATGTGACACATCTTAAATCAAATATACATCACGATTCACGAAAGTTAATTTACACTACAGTGATAATTTCATGACCAGGTTATCAACCAGTAAGTGACAAATACAGGTGTTCAACTCAGTCAGCCTTTTTTTCAGATATGTAGCGGTAATTCAATAAACCCTGTATCACTGTGTAATTATGGCATGGGCATGGAGGTAGTCGTTGGAGGTAGTCCAGAATTTTTAAACGTCAACCTAGAAATCTATACATTTCCAAAACCACTGACCATTTAGGATAGTCTTAAATATGATACACCTATGACACTATTACTGAATGCCTGACATACTTTAAATTTCTACCACGCTCTAAAAACTACAGAAAACAAGACTATAGCATATATAGCATAAAGTATTTAACAGGTAAAGCAAACGATAATGCCCGAGTTGTGTGTTTACAGATCAACAATCTTACTTACGATATATTCCCGAACAGCGTTGTGGAAAACTTGTTCCCTAATATCAACATCTACATCTTCCGACATATTTTCCATCAAACAATTTTAAAGAAAAAGAAGAATTCATTCATGAACAGATTCTTCAACATGACGCCAGGAATTGTTGTCATTCTGCCATTCAGATGTAAAATCTCGATAAGTTCCGAGTGCAATCAATGTATATTTGCGATTACAGATAACATCGTTTAACCGAAACGAATATAACGGTTATATTTGCACGTAAATGCAACGTGTCCTACGAAATATTGCATCAGCGGACCATTATATGTATTTCTAGCTTGTTTTGGAGAAAGAGGTGAGCATGGCACTGGCCGTCCCTGTATTCGACACTTTGAAAAGAAGCGAAAAAAAAAAAAAAGATTAAGAGGGCTGGCCCAGTTTTAGACTATTTAAATAAACCTTCTGGAAATGGAGAGCTGTGTTTAAAAATATATATTTAAGGAAATTGTAATTAAAATATTATAGCTAGAATATTGTGGGTCTTTTTGCGTTTTAGGTGGATCTGTTGGATTATATTTTGACCACCCAGCCTCCTTAACATCAGGGACCTATATAGTATATAGGTCCCTGTTAACATTTATGAAAAACAAGTCGGGGGTTGTTTTGAACATTAACCTACAGTTGAACTTCAGTATCTCGAACACTGATATCTTGCATACCATGGATATGTCGAAGTGTCTCAATCATTTATTTTTTAAGTATTTACCCTCGATATCTTGAATTCTCGGATATCTCGAAGTTTTTTCACGGCCCCTTCGAGTTCGAGTTAACGAGGTTTGGCTGTATTCTGTTGAATAAATCAAAAGGATTGGATAAAGTTTTCACAACATACTGTTCCTTTCCTTAAATATTATACAATTATGGACTTTTTCGGTGGTGAATATGGTTTGTTTTTCACCAGAAAAATATTAATATTGACCGAGACGAAATTTATGGACAGCAGCAAAAAATTTAGAGATAATTTAATGTTTGAGAATTCCTGAGGACATGAACCACATATTATTGCATATTTCATGAAGCGCGTTGGCATTTTTGTCATTCAACGATCATTTTTGAATAAAAAGTTTGCAATATTTTTTTACTTCAATTACATCGCAATGGAAAGATAAAAGTTAGACAAAAAATAAAAACAGAAATTGTCCAAAGTCGAAAATTCTTTCCAACTTCTCTCACAACCATATTTATTCATAAATACGACATTACGCTTTTTATACTTATACGTGAAAAGAAGAAAACACTTGCCGTGGCCTTCGACATTTAGATATATCGACGACGTATTGTCAATTTACAATAGTTATTTCCATTCTATGTCGATACAATATATCCCAGTGAGCTTGAGATAAAAGATACCACAGAGTCTGACACATCTGTTTCATATTTGGATATTTTACTTGAAAAAGACGTTAATGGTAATCTAGCAACCAAGCTTTATGATAAACGTGATAACTTTACCTTTTCGAATTCAATAGGCAACTTCCCTTACTTATGCAGCAATATACCTTCACCTGCATACGGGGTTTATATATCTCCAGGCGCGTAGCCAGAATAGAAATGATGTGTACGCAGAGAACGGCAGGGGGTTGGGTGGGGGGGGGGGGGGTCTTGAGCCCCCACCCACCCAGTGTTTAAGGGCTCTGGTCAGGCACGTAATATAGTTTTTGCCAGCCAGGAAAAAATTACGACTTTAAAAATTTTTCAAGCAAAGACGAAAAAGGAAGATTGTCAAAATTCGAAGTCCTATTTCTTGTGTGTGTGTGTGTGTTTGTTGAAGGGGTGGGGTGGGTGGGTATCCATCTTTCACAAACCAAATCTTTATTGATACATTACCAAATTACCATGATTTAACAATGGTGCAAAAACAGGGGGGGGGGGGGGTCCAACCCTTTCAATGTACAATTTCAATAGTAAAAGGTTAGGTTTTGGGAATAAGTAGGGGGGAGGTTCCCCTGATACTACGTGCCTGCTGGTGAGGGCCCAGAAGCTCCGGAGTTTTACCAAATATTTCATGCATTTTCTTTAGTTTTAGTTTTTTGTTTAGGAAATAAAAGACATATAGTAATATTTTTTTTTTAACGAAAATTAATATTCCATAGAAACCTATTGCACATATAATTGAGGATAAAAAATTTAACCGATATATTAATTGGTATCAAATAACCATTCTTAACTTTTTAAAACACGTATACAAAATTTTAATTATGAACAAAAAAATATCGTATTGTAAATCATACTAGTAGATCATAGCATTCAACGATGTGGCTGAAATTGAATTTTTCAAAGATCTTTAAAAAAAAAAATCAATGTATAATAGAACAATGACAAAATAATGAATGATTTATTTGGATTTGGCAATTATTAAATAAAAGATTTTAAATTTTATCATACAGCCATGATAATTTAAGATTTAAATCGACACAGTATGACAGAGAATAATTTGAAACACGAAAATTTGTTGGATGGTACTGAGATTTTTTTTCTCCGAATAATTCTCTCTTTTTTCTTATCTTTTTTTTTTCTTTTTTTTCTGAAAATGATGTGTACGCACTTGCGTATTTGCGTATAGGCAGCTACGCGCCTGATCTCTCAGTTAATTCGATACGCAAGTGCATGCTCTACGTATGTACAATTTCTAATACGAGGTAAATTGTTGACAAACAAGTTGATGAAACAAGAATATCAGCAGTCTCGTTTAAAGTCATCATTTCGTAAGTTCTATGGTCGATAATTGTCAGCAAATATACAATTTATCATTGAGTCAAATGCTGACTGACGTTTTTCACACTAATTGTTAGGCCATTATTTACACACTGAATTGTCGACGGATTTTTCTGTTATTGACCAATCATGACAAGAAGCACACGGCGGGTGTGACCGGTCGGCAGGGGATGCTCACTCCTCCATGGCACCTGATCCCACCTCTGATGTTTTGGAGGTCCGTGTTTGCTCTGCTCCTATTTTGTATTGTTTAATGGACTTTTGAGCTTGAATACTGTTCGTTATCTCCATATATTTTATACTATACAGCAAACAAAAATTAGGAGGGGAAAACCTTTCAATGAACAGTAAAAGTTTATTTTTATAATGAATTTGACTACGGAATGTTTCGTGTACCCGATCAATGCATAGGGTTCACTGCGGGTGTGACAGGTCAACAGGAGATGCTTACTCCTCCTAGGCACCTGATCACAGAATAGTATTGTTTTTGAGATCGATAACGATTCGTTATCTTCACCCTTTTCATTACGTGCCTATTATGAATGAATTATTGTGGAATTTGCAATAACAAAAAGTCGTAAGTACCAAGAATTTACCATAATTCTCCAGACAAATCGTATGTCCGCTGTTCTCTAATTGATTCAGTAGCATTCATTGTTGACTGTCATATTAAAAAAAAAATGTTTATAACACCTACTTGTGTATAAGCGGAATTAATATATCATGGAAATACTTGAATGAAAATGTTTCTTGTTTGTCCTGAAAAGCGTCAACATTTGACCTCAGTAATTTGGAAGCGCAACACTTCTTACTGGTGCTGCATTTGTGGATATTGAGCACTACGGTCGGTCATTTTTGCATGAGCTGAAATTTTCATTAAAGTTTGACAAATATTTACCGTAAGTGTCAGACGTGAACTTTTGGGGGGGGGGGATTCTCGTTTCCTCTAAACCAGAGAAGTAAAATTCAAGACAATTTTACACAAAGTACTTTTTAACAAGAATAGATATGGGTTACCCCATATCCAAGATATTCGACTTTTAATTTATTCGAATTTTCATTGTGCTCAGATGATTTCTAATAAAAAAACAAGTATTTACTGACAAAACGTCAGAGATACTCAAGCTGTAGAAAGTCATAAAAAAAGTGCCATAAATATCCTAAAACGACAAAATATTTAGGCTACTGAGTTTCAACATCTTTTGTTGAATAAAATATGCATGTACTAGGAAACAAACTGCATGTTCATATATAACGTTAGATGTAGATGCATGTAGTGACTATCACAAAGTCGCTAAAAATAGTTTTAATTTCACATAGAACATAGACTAAATATAATTAATCGTATAATTTTAAAAATGTATTTAACACCTCGTTCATTTTCAGGAATATTTAAACCAAATAGCATGTTACAGGCCTGTAGCAACGTTTTCAAAGTGAAGGGGGGGGGGGCTCCGAAAAAAATCCCGCGTACTATATGGGCCTGTGCTACATGTGTACCATATAACTTTCCAATGATAGAATCTTCTGTAAAAAAAAAAAAAAATCAAATCAAGTTCAAGCCGTTATGGATTATCAAAGATAGCCCATTTTTTTTAAATAGCAAAGCTATAGATCTATCAAGGATAGATTTTAATTTATTTTTTTAATTTTGTGCTATTAAATTACTATCACCCATAGTATAGGCAGATGTTAAAGATGGTCAACATGTCACCTTTTAGAACGAATGAACTTGTAATCAATGAACTTGTCCAGAGATGCATTGACGGCCGTTGTTAAACGCAAAGGAAAGCGCGAGATCGGTTGCGGCTATGGAGCATCACTGAATATTCCTTCGTCATAGGATAGAATCCGACATTTAACACTTAATATAGATTTTGAATATACAGATGTTTTGAAGATAAACTTAGTATATTTTCGTGTTTTTAAACTGAGTAGATCGATGACCTAGTCTCGTTTTAGATAACTCAGCCCCTCTAGCCCAATTTAGGGCTTGAGTAAAAATCCTGCACTTCTTATGAAACTGGTGTATAGTTCTAAACTTCTTCATTTCCGTAGCAAATACTGATACCCAGTCTACGTGATCTAAGCGTCTCTAGCAAACGGTGCACACACCTGTGCTTGCAAGACCAAATAGCCTAGGTCTACACACGTGCGAAGATCCTTTCAGACGAGCTCGGAACATTACGTTGCTTTGCCGAGAGGTTACGATTGCAGGTGTTTAACCATAATAACCATTCCGTTATTCATTAAAAGAGAGAAAAAAAAACACACAGTTAATGATTAACATATCCATTCAAAAGAAATTATAAGGCAATGAACGAACAATAATAATGACAGTAATATAACTGGTGAAAAGATTTATCATTATCAATCGAAGTATGACCTATATATTTTCGGGAAAAAGACTGAGGAGGCAGCGAG